ACATGCTGGAAGGTTAATTGGCTCCTGTCTAAATTGGCCCTCGTATGTATGCATGTGAGATTGGGACCTTAGATTGTAATTTTCTTGAGGGCAGGGACTGATGTGAATGTACGCTATGTAAAAGCACTGTGTGTAAATTATCGCCGCTATATAAATACCTATGATAAAGAAAGTCAAAAACTTACCCTTGCAGTTCTACCCCTGTTTTATCTAAAGGCTAAAATAAATCCGTTTTACTCACCTGATCCTCAGACCTGTGGCTTTTAGTGCTCACTCTCTCTCCCCCTCTGCTCTGTATATGGACTGTCAATTGGCATTGTCACATGTGATGCAGGTTAATGGACTTGCATAAGGCGGGATGACCTCAGCGGACCATCGGAGCACAGGGGAGACCAGTCTAGCAGCCTGGAGGAAGCTGGGATAACTGGGGATCAAGTAAGGAAATCTGCTTGGAGTCCACTAGACAGAATGAGCACTTAATCATCGCATCCACACACTGCCCGTTCAGCATTGCGGTCATCGGAAGCCTGCCCCTCAGGCGGGCGGGCTTGCTATTATCGCAAGTACGATCTGCCTGTCCAAGATGGGCAGATCGTACGTTTTTAAAATTAGTCTTGCGATGGTTGTAAAGTAATGTCGTGCGATGGTTGTAAAGTGTATGGCCAGCTTAAAGGCCATACGCTTTACTGCAACGGGCAGTGTGCGCGTGCGCGCACAGGCCCGTTCGGCATTTGTCTCCCGAGCACCGTTCAAACCAGCCGAAAATCATAAGATTTTCGGCTGGTTTTCTAGCGTGCTCCTTAGACAAAAGACGTGCAACTTTTTTCTGCAAAATTTTGATGAGGTGGGATTTTGTGGGGGTGGTGTGGGAATTGAGTGAATCGAGTGATTTTCATTTTATTGACACCATATTGGAAGTCAGATGTTTATTTATTATGTAAATGATGATTGTATATACATATTGAACATGTGCTGTATGGATCGAATATTTACAATTACTAATTATATAATTATCACATAAATGTTACTCCATTTGTTGTAGAAGTTAGCTATATCTTCACTATGCTGTATTTTGTGCGCACTTTAACTTATTGTCACCGTTCATATTGGCAATAAATTCAAGTATAGAAAACGTCTTCAGATGACCTTTGAACAGTGTACATAAATACATGTTGCCATTGGTCCTTTAACATAAGTAATTCTGCACGTGCTCTCTTAATGACGCTGCATTTTTACAGTTCTTGTATAATATCATAACTTGTACACAAGTGCTGCACAGATAATGCTCCAGGGATAAAACTCCTGAACCAGCCTAAAAATAGGCTTGTGTCTGCCAGTTTGGCTCAGTTTCATTACCAGCTATGAGCACCAGGTGTGCAAAGGATTTCCTTGCATAGAAACAATGACATAACCTTAACCACTTCTACCCTCACACCCTTCCAAAGTCTCACTTTTTAAAAAAAATGTTAGATCTGTTGGATTTATTTATTTATGTTTTTGTTTCTTTTTTACAGTTGGTTAATTTATGTATTTTGGGCAGGTTTAAGGGCCGTGCGATGTTCCGAGCACCACACACCAGCTGCTGCGCTATGTGGCACAGTGGCTGGTGTGAATGAGCCCTTATGGGATTTTCCTTTTACTTTCATTTGTGTCTCTGGGACAGGAGATACAGAACGGGCATCTTAACCATTCCCTACTCTATCAAAAACAAAAACAAAAAAGTGGTTGGCCTTTAAAGGAGAACTATGGGGTTAAGGCTTTTCCCCATAGGGTAACGGGAGGACACAAACTATCGTCCTCCTGTCACCCTAAGCTCAGTATACCGTGAGCTACAGCTCGCAGTATACTGAGACGCCACAGTATACTGCAAGCTACTGTTCGCGGTATACTTAGACGCCGCAGCTGAAGCGGATCCCGACAATTATGTCTGGATCCGCCCAGCTGCGTGGGTGACAGCTGGCTCTGCCTATCTAGAAGCAGAGCCAGCTGTACCCGCCCCCTCCTCCGTCCGATCCGCCAGTCAGCGCTGGCCGAGCGGGGAGGGGGGAATCCAGCCCCTGTCACGGCAGAGAGGTTTCATTGTCACAGGTCGGCTAGAACTATGAGGTGAGTGAAAAGCACTCACCTCATAGTTCTCTTTTAAACACTCTTTAATTCTTTATTTTGTAACACAGGTCAATACAAGGTGTCTTGTTTAAAAATATAACCAAAGCTTTTCCACATTGTCTCACAGGTTCAGCTTACTTTTAATGTGCCATGACACTGCTTATGCACTTTATTTATGCATGCGTCCTGTTATAGGATTATATAAATTGTGCACATCTAGATTAGCAATGCTCCTAACAGTATTCGTTATTTATAAGCTTTTCCGGGAAACTACGCCAACACACAATACAAAAGAATGATATGCTTAAGCACTTTCATATTTTTTCTTTAGATAAAAGGTGCTAGACCATAGTATCCAGATAATTACATAGATTTACATAAAAGGGGTTATGCAAAATTGCATATAATCCCCCTAAACAAATGGAACACATCAATTCAGCATGGATTTCTATTTAAATCTGATAAATTCTATAGAAGCTGGCAGCATATATGGCAATCCTTTACAACAAATCTCATTATTCATCTATTAGCAACATCCTCTTTGATACCCCACATTGAGCACATTTCAGCACAAGACTTTGGGTTATGCACTTCTAGTGTTCTGTATATCTTTGTAATAGTAGTGTAGATTTTTCTAAACTTTTGTATTTAAAAGTGAACATGTAAAGCATTCTAAACTAAGAGCATATACTTTTAAAATGCCTGCAATTATTATAGACAGCAAAAGACTTTTAACCCCTTCATGACTGAGGCCTTTTTTTTAATTTTTTTGTACCAATGTTATATTCCACATTTTAAGCCTGAAAATTACTTAAAACCCCCCAAAAGTCAGCCACGAAGGGGTTAAACTAGTAATAAAGTAAAACTGGTTCCTAGGAGTAACTCGGTGGAGGCAATAGCGGGATATTTCTGATGTCTGTTCTTAAGCATTGATGCAAGGTGGACTTTCCCTTTGATGTGTATCTGTGGTGTAAGGAATGTCCCTACTGCAGCTGATTGGGCTGGGAGGTGGGTGTGTCGGTCACCGTTTTGCGTGAGCTTGGGCAAAGACAAGTGCACTAGGTTTCCACCATGCCCCTGCACATCACTGTTCTTAAGCAGGGCTTTAAAGTGTATTTCCACTTTTGCAGTCAAATTTGAGAAAACATTACTATATGTTTATGTTCCCATATGACTCCTAAAAATAATTTTAAAAAATATGTTTCTCATCTTTTTAATAGTAGTTTCTTTGGAGCAGGCCTTTGGGCAGACTGCAAGTTCAAACTGAAAGCAGAAGGGGACAATTTGGGGACAGACTTTACCTCATTGAAGTAGGACTGCAGTCAACTTTTTTGTTTTTGTTTTGGATAGTGTATGGGAGGGTTATAACCCCTGTCAAGTTTTTTTGTCATCTGTGTCACTTTGGGGAGATTTCCTTTCACTTCCTGTCTGTTGGCTACAACAAGAAGTGAGAGGAAATCCCTGCATAATAAGGGTGGTCCCTGGTGGTCAGCAGCATTCCCATGAAAATTTTGAGTGATATGTCACCAGGACAAAAAGAGAGGGTAAACCTACATAACGGGAACACAGACAGCAATACAATCCTGACAGGTTTTCTAATCCCTCTCTACTCTATCCAAAACTTAAAAAGAAAAAACTTTTTGCTTCAGTTGAAATTTACCATACAATACAGAATTCTGCATGCTGATTTAAAATAATATTACATACATTAGTCAAATAAACATGTTTTTTCATTTACTTGCAAATGGAGTTCTTCTACTTCCTGGTCCATTTTGGCACAAATTATGTAATGTGCCAAATCGTTGTATCCTGGGAAGGTTACATCAGCAGAGCATTCCTGGGAAATCTCATCTTTAGATCTCAGGGAAAGGCATTTTCCTCCCCTGAGATGATGTGTATGGTCACATGTCCTAGTCAGACGTGCCAAAGTTCCAGGAAGTCAAAAGAGATCTAGTGATCTGCCCTTAGTAAACATGGCCAATGTGAGAAGACTGGGGAATAAAAGAGAAAAAGGGATTGTAAAGAATACAAAGCCTGCAATTATCTAGAAGTATGTGTTTTTAGATGGTCATTACTAAACATTTCTAAAGATGTGTTTGTTGTTGTTTTGTAGATAAGGTCCTCTCTAACTCGCCAACACCTTCCCTAACATTACATAGCAGAGGTAAAATTCAGTTTTGTAGTTTAAAGAAAAGAGCATGTAAAGAGCAAGTATGAATTGTTTTTTTTGTTTTTGTAATGAGAACATGCAACAAATGTATAGTAGATGTTATCCCAATTTAGCTGCAACAGTGGAAATACATTTTAAAGAGAGACAGGGTCACTTTTCTCCATTCCCCATGTTCCCCATTCAGTGTTTGTGACACTCATCTTTCCAGTTATCCCCTGCTGGTACTTCCTCTACTTCAGTTTGTGCAAAATATTCACTGCTTCCGTGTAAGGGGAGTGTATGAACTTCTCCCATGTGACAATGCTTAGGTCTAGCAGCCAATTGGTAGGCTTGAACATTGTCAAAGAGGGTAATGTCACCGCTCCCTTTAGGCTCCGGTACCTGCCAGCACTTGGTATTTTGGTGCTTACTGTGATGAAGGGAGGCATTGGAGAGGTGATTATCAGTGGGACAGGGGGTGAGCTTTTCACAGCTCTGAATGGGCAAAGTGACGGTCTCTCTTTAGCTTTTAACAGTTTTGAAATATCTGACAGGCTTCAATCACCAATCAAGATGGATTGCAAATAAACTTACATTTATTATGTTATGCACTCCTTTTAGGTTTAATGTCAGGCATTCTATACAGTCCAGATTTTGTAATCAGACTCGCTGTGAAGTATTTAAAAATACATCCTTTGTTCCTGCAAAAGTGAATAATCTTTGTAATGTTTTTATTGTGTTACAGCTGTTCTAACAATCAACGATGATTCTCCAGTGATCCCACCGGCAAAGATGAGCCAACGGCAGGGTAAAGACGCATACCTTTCTCCTACCAAAGACTTAGTCCAGGCTACGCTGAGCCCAGGAATCATTCAAAGTCATGGTAAGACATTATATTTGAAATTCAGTGGAAACTCTTGCAAATTCTTGTGTCCTTAAATTATTATTTTCTCTGTCTGCATTCTGCACATTTTTCGGCACTGCCAGGCTTAGAGTTTGCTGCTCTTTGCCACGTGTGACCTTGTACTGGGTTTACTTTGAGATGATGTGTTGTATTTTTAGATGCTTTAATGTTACTGGTACAGGATATAGCAGATGTAATTTGTAGTGATGCCAAGAAGTGTGGTGGAGCATGGTACCAGAGTTCTTTGAAGCATAATTAGAGTTCTTTTATAAATGCCCCTGGAATTACAATAAACTGCAAAGGCACTTTTTAAATGTAAAATTGATTTGAGCTGCATGCCTAAAAAAACAGAAACTTTTATTTTGTCTACAAAGAATTGATGTGTAAATCATGTACAGTTTAGAAGATGCACTGCCCTATCTTTCCTCTTCCTTGTTAAAGTGGAGTTTTGAACCAAATGGAAAAAGGTGAGAGTAGCATCTGGCAGTTTTTATTACCATCTGGTCCATGCTGTGTGTGTATCACTCAAGACAAGTTCCAATCTAAAATTTTACAGTTGTCACAGCAACAAGAGTTGAAGTAAAATTTACCATTGGGGAGACCTGCTTAGGTGACAACTGTCAAAGGCGGGGTTTCTCCTAACTTTGGCAAGATTTCCTCTCACTTCCTATATCTATGGAACAGTAAGTAAAGGGAAATCTTACCAACTCGAACGCAAATAGCAATAGAAACCTGGCAGAAGTCCTATTCTTTACTCTTTCCAAACCAATGAAAAGGTTGAGTGTGATGGGAAGTTTAATTTAATGAGTCAAGAAGTGATTATTCAAGGCTATGCTTTTTCTATTGCACCCCCTTTGCCCCAAGTGGAATACAGGCAGTCCCCGGGTTACATACAAGTTAGGGACTTTAGGTTTGTACTTAAGTTGAATTTGTATGCAAGTCTGAACAGGTACATTTTTTAAGTGTAACTCCAGCCAAAATGTTTTCTTTCCTTTTGGATAGCATAGGGGAAGGGTCATGGTTCTTTTGCTGTCTGTTCCTGAATAAAAAATGTTTTATTTAAAATGACACAGAAAAAAAAGTTTTTTTCTAAATTGTATTTGATAAACTTTATTTTGTATTTGTTTTGCATTTTTAATTTTTATTTATTTAACTTTTTCTTAACTTTTTTGACATTTTTTTGTCTTTTTAATTTAATTTTTTACATTTTTTTTTTTGTATTTTAATGCCGGGAGCCATAGCCAGCCTGCTATTGGATATTTCAAATTGCAATAGCCAATAGCAGGCTGGCTATTGCATCTGCCTGCTGTCAATCAGCAGAGGAGGGGCCTGAAGCAGAAAGTTCTCTATCAGGTCCCCCCATGCTGATTGACAGCAGACAGTGGGCAGGTGCAATAGAGTAGGCAGGGGGGCGGGGCAGAGGAGCTGCGGCCGGACCAGGAGACCGGAGGATCGTCCGGACCGGGGAAGCCGAGGGAACGGCTGAAGAGGAAGCCGGCACATCAGTGGAGGTACGTGGGGCATCGGCGGTATGCAGCGGTAGCCTCCTAAAATGTACCGGTGGCTGCTGGTACATTTAGGAGAACTGTGGACCCCGTTCGTAAGTACGGATTGTCCGTAAGTCGGACGTCCGTAACCCGGGGACTGCCTGTACTTTGATTTTTTTTTTTTCTAAGGCTGGTTGCTAGGTCTACCATCTTGTTATTGGTGTGTGGTGCTGGCAACACAGAAAATTGGCTTCTGGTGCCACCATAGCTTGGAGACTCAAACTGATTGCATGACGAGCCTTCATGACATTGCCTCAATTTTCAATACAGGTGTAAATTTTAAGTGCATATTTAACACTACTCACTCGTGGATTTTGAGTGATGACCATTTTCTATGACTATTGGTTTTATGCCATTTCCATCTTACGTGGTGCTACAGATCTGTAGAATGGAGATTATTTTGACCAGCGTAGTGTGCTGATAAAATTCACCCCCCACAGCACCACCTTCCCCACAACAGTAGCTCACAGGAAATGCTGGGAGACATCATTCATTATAGATCCTGCATTAGAGTTTTTATGAACTTGGTTTGGATGCAGATTTTTCTTAGTAATTCTGCTATAACTTCTCTGTACAGACACAAAGTTGTCACGAGTAGCTAATTTATTTTGCAACTACTTAAATAAAGATTTAAAGTTGGTAGATATTTTTAAGTTTCCTAGTGAGGAAATACAGGTGTTATAACAATGACACTAAAACTGGTGTAGACAACGTGCATGTGATTGGGACTGCTGCGAATGGTTTCTTGTTCTTTGTGAAACATCACACAATCATTGTGTACATAAAGAAAATGAATAAATCCAGGGCAAGTAAAAGTAAAGCTTCACTGGAAGAACATGTCATGTTGAATAGATTAAATATCTTCATAGTATTATGCTTTGACATGCAAAACATATTTTTGATATTGACCTTGTGTGATATATGTGTTCTATGCATTTGTAATTTTAGGCCCATTTCTGCACCCCATTTGGAATCCGCTATTTGTATCTTTGACCTGCTGTCATGCTAGACCCTCGTACCCTACTCAGTCCATTCTCTAAAAGTTACAAAGTTAGGGAATAGGTTAATGACTGGTATGCTTTAAGCTACCTATAAACGGTTATCCTGGGACATTTTCCCAGACTAGGCTTGTCAACATTCATCTCTTTTCCCTTCCCTGGCTTATGTCCAGTCTGTTTGATATGACTATTCTGAAGTGTTGTCTCAGTTTTTAATATTTTTTTATTCCCTTTAAAAATCAATCTGTACTGTATATTTTGTAGGCTCTGTGTGATAACTTTTTATAGGACATTCCTTTCATGTCAGCTTTGATAGCTATTCAGGGAGCACAGCCTACTTTCAAGATTATTTTTTCCATCCACACCATTCTGTACTGCGTCACACCCTGACTCTTTTGTCTATATTCTGGTAATCCTGGAATACTACTGCTGGTGAAATAATAGATTATCTTTCTTACTGCCTTTCACGTAGAAGTTCCAGTGCTAAGATGTTGCTCACAGTTGACAATCAGATTCAAACCTGCTTTGGAATGGTAGAAAATAAGAGGAGAGGAAGTGCACTCCTACTGACCCTCCTATGAAGCTTTCTGAACTCAGCAGTTGTTGTGTTTTCTGGATGACTTAAGTAGCTCACTGATTTATGTATTTTTTTATTCTCCAGAATTGTATTTTAAGTTGTAATGCATATGTACTCTGCATAACACCTGAAGGTGTTGATTATTGACCATTTGTATTTCCAGAAAATTGTTGCTGTTTACTGTTCACAGACTGTGTCCTTTAAAATACTGGTCAAACATATGCCATATGTCTTAGGGTAGATTTAGTTTATTTTTTTGTGCTTTTGCATATTTTATTTTACTCCTTTTAACTAGGTACATTTTCCAGTGATTCATTTTTCTTTGTCCATTGCTTGGTTTGCACAAAATGTTCTTTCTTTTTTTTTTTGGCATGTAATTATAGAAACAAAATGTATTTTTAGAGTTTGTACGTATTATCTGAGCAGTAGGTGTTGATGTGACGGGCTATGCTTTGGTCTCTACTTCTTCATGGTCTGTTCATTTAGAAGATTAAAATGTATTTCATCTGCTTTTTGAAAGGGAAAATCCAGTGTTAGCTGACTTGCGTAAGGAAAAATGCACAGACAAAACAGACCTTCATATCATTGTCTGCTCAGAATTCTAAACTCTTTTTAAACTACTACCTGACTGTTGTAACCTTTTAAATGTAAATAATACTGCCAACATTTGCAGACCGCTCACTGCCTAAATGAAAATAAGCAACAACAAAAAACTCCTGTTAAATGTTGAGATTGTGTCAACACTGGCCGTAAACATTCCAGGCAATTACATTTTTTCCAAACACCTATTTAGTACTACAGTATTGCGTAAGTTGTTGAAGAGTTTTGTGGAAAGGGTGAGATGAAGGTGACTTTATGAGCAAATTTGGTGATTATGACTTTTAGAGCACATCTCGTTGATGTAGGTGTAGCTACCAATTTGACAGCAGAGTAGGCCAGTCAACTAATAATGGAAACCAGAACTAGTGCTGCTGAATCTGTGCAGGCGTATGTAGAGTTATGTGGTAGGAAGTACATGGCCCTAGGTAGGGTAAACAAGCTTTGGGAATGCCTAAGGTGATGTCATTAAGTTGACCTGCATCTTCCTTGACTTAAGAACTGTATTGGCTTCTTTAGAGTCGCAATTGAGCTGGTAATACCGCAAGCTGGTGCAAGTAATAAAGTTCACAGAGCACCTCCACAAGGACTTTTACAGAAATGGTATGGGCCATTGCAGTAATGCCTAAACTAAAAACAGGAACCCTGAACATGTAATTTGTTTCTTTTTATGTGTATATTTTCACTGGAAGCTAGACTGTACCTAAAATTTAAACCATGTTCAAACAGGCACAAGGCTTATTACTATCTGTTATTTGTAACGCTAGGTCCTGTATAAGTTGTAGACGAATATTAGGAAGTAGTAGAGGAAGTCTAGGGAATAAATCATTGGGCTGGTTGGTTGATGACCACTCTACAACTTAGGGTAGCAACAGACAGCTGATACCTGCCGGACAGCAATTGCTGAGGGGTTATTTGTCCTTTAAACAATTTAACTCAAAGATCTTGGTCCCGACAACTGGGACTTTCCAACCTCACCACTAACCGATGGATGAGCTTTTCATCTCCTAGGTTTTAAGAAACCGCCTGGTAATTGCAGGTAACATTTGTTGAGGTTTTCTATGGTCATTCATAAAAATTACATCTAGTTTGATTCAGTGGGGATCGCATGATAATTACAGATTCATGTCAGTATTTGCACAGATGGCACCATAAAATAGACAATATGAGGCTGTCTTACTAAAAGAGTTTAAAATCTTCGCACAATAAAATGTGTGAATTTATCCCGTCAAGTATAAGGCGCTTACTTATTTCAACGTA